ATAAAAAAAGCATAAAGCTACGACACACTATGGATATGTCGGAATATACGGCCATCGAGATCACCGAAGGGATTTTAATATGATATAATTTTAATTTTAATCAACAATGATTAACATCAATTGAGAAAATTTCCAAAATCGCATAACCCTAATTTGGCAATTTAATTTCTATTAGAAAAGTTTTGATACCAAATTGAAACTAGACCTTAAAGAACAAGATCGATTGGAAGGCAAGATGCTAATAGAAAATTAATAAGTCAAATCAAGATTACAAATACATATATATTCTTATGCATAACTGAACTTACTCATATGTAAAATAAAACTTACCTGCAGAATCTATGAACAAAAAAAAAAATGACGATAATGTTGTTTTTCAATCTCTCTGTCAAAATTTTGAAGCACCTTTGTGATGATATCAAGGCTAAACAATTTTCCATATGTTTTTATAACAAATACGAAGTTTAAAAAAATATCAAAAAGAGGATATATATATATATACATTTTTTTTTAAAGGATCAAATTGTTGTTATTAACATCCTATTCATTAATTGCATATTAGTACCTGAACTAAAACCCATATATTAAATTGTCTTTATAACTTTAATTTTGTTCAGCACATGACCGAGGGATTTACACCCAATAATTACTTCTTAAATCATCACCGAGTGTACCAAATGGGAATTATCAATTAATTAAACAATATATATGAGTCAAAATTAAAAATTAAGTAAAATTTTTAACATTTGATTTGTATTTGCACCCCAACAATATCATAATTATAATTATGCATCGTATGATTACTTTTAGGGTTTCTTTAAAGTGAGACTTGAAAAAAGAATGAATATATTCTTAAGATGACTAATTTAATCGATTTATTTAAACTTGATTCATAATATGATGAGTTCATAATAATGGTCATTAAAGAATAATCAATAATGATCCCAACTTTTTTGTTTGGCTAAGAGCAATAATATATTAAACTCACATTTCAAAATAAAACTAGAACTGGCAAATGTTAGCATCCAAGGGCTTCCAAGCAATTTTTATTTTGGGTAAACTGTTTTTTTAGTCTCGTAACGGGATTCCCTTATCATTTTAGTCCCGTAAGTTGAGTATGTCACAAACTAGCCCCATAAATGAAAAATTTTCGTTGTTTTAGTCTTCCGGCGCCGGAGACGCCTGCGTGGCTCGCGAAAGCCATGTGTCCGCCAGGTCAGCAACACTGGACGGAAATGTGGATTTTATTTTATTTTTTAATTTTTTTTAATTAGACCAAATAAAAAATTTAAAAAAAAGCAAATAAAATTAAAAATAATTTCTTAAAAAAAATTTAAAAATAAAAATAAAAAATAAAATCCAAGTGTCCGCCAGGTGTCGCTGACCTGGCGGACACGTGGCCTCCGGCGAGCCACGCGGGTGGGTGTCTCCGGCGCCGGAGAACTGAAACAACAAAAATTTTTTACTTATGAGACTAGTTTGTGTAGGTTCCACTTAATGGACTAAAATGATAATGTCTCCAAATACAGACTAAAAAAACAGTTTACCTTTTTATTTTTATTTTTATTTTTATTTTTATTTTTTGCTACAATATATTCTCTTTACCGTTGAAGCAAACTCCCCTTGCCAAGGGATGAGGATTATTTATATATAAAATATTTGTGTTATTTTATATGTTAAAGGTATTATGAAAAATTTTATTAGCTAAACAAAAATAAAATTATATATTGGCATGGTATTGACTTGAAAAAAAATAACAAAGGTAATTTCGACTCAAATAATGATATTTTTAATATATTTTGAGTTATTCAATAATATGTTGATTTTATAAATATTATATTATTGGTTTGTTTATTGGAGTTTGATTTTGTATTTTTATTTGAATAATGAATTATACTTCCTTTGTCCCTATTTAAAATATTATTTTTATTTTTATAAAAATAAAAAATTATTATTAGATTCGACATCTAATTTACCTTTAAATAAAAGATTATTATTAGATTATTGATTTGTTAGTGAATTTTGATTTGAATAATAATTTATATTTAATTATTTTGTAAAATAAAATATCGTACATTTATATAAAATCTTGATATACATATGTATGGTGGAAAAAAAAAGCTACTAGTAAATTATCATAAGTTTTAAATTTGGTTTTACTTTTTTTTATCGGCATAGTAACATATTTTTTCTTATAGAAATATATTTTCTGTATTCGTCTAGGGTCACATTTATATTTTACATTATTGTACTTAACATTAAAAATATTTTTATATTTTGTATAATTTTTTTTGTAAAAATTTTATTAAACTAGTATTATAAGACAATAATTGAAGTATTTTTGCAAGTTTTTCTTAATTTGTACTTACGTTTTGATATAATAATTAATATACAAAGATCAATACACAAAAAATAAATGAAACTCTTATAGTCGGACGAAAATAATATTATTTTATCTCAGATAATCATATTGGTTAAATAAAAAGTCAAAATTAAAACTCCAAAACTAACCATATTTTGTAAGGAAAAAATATTGGAACGATTCATTTGTATTTGATTCAAATAGGGATTAGATGTAACGTTTGGAACAAAAGTAATTATAAAGATAGTGCAAATTGTCTAGTGAAAAAACAAATATTGTGTTTGTTTAATATTTTAATTTACAATATTTTTAAATGTGAAATATAAAGAATAGTATTTAAAATATAAAATATAATAGTCCTTCCGTCACATGTTAATACATACAATTATTTTTTATGTAATTTTCTTTTTTAAAAAATAATTATATTTTAATGGTAGTAAGTAGAGACAATTTTATCATACGTTTTAATATAAAAATAATAATATAATAATAAATCATACTTTCTCCGTCCCTTAACAATCTATCAATTTTTTCATTTTGGTCCGTTCTATAATAAAGTATCCATTTCGTTTTTTAGTAATTGTACTATCTACTTAACATTACAAATACTCTTCTAATTTACAATATATTACACAAATGTCATTAGAGTTAATTTAGTCTTTTTACCTTTATTTATACTTTAACTCAATATAATATTAATATTTTTAAAATTACGTGCAAAAAATAAATAGATAGATGAATTGGAGACGGAGGAAGTATAATAAAATAGAACTATTTATATTAAATAGTGGAATCTACAATTAGTTAAAAGAAAATGCAAACAGTAATTCGAAATTAAAATTTTTTTTATATTGCATATTACTAATATTTTGTAATAAAATAAAATATATGTTAAAAATCGAGTCAAATAAAAAATTAATTGAACAAATAACTCCTTTATTATATTATTAATTATTATATCTTATCCGTTTTAATTGATTTATTTTTTATTTTTGTTGTTCAATATCATGAATATATTTTTATTTTGGATAAAATTTATTAAATCAAATATATATATTTAACAAATATAAATTAATTAAAAACCTCTTTATTTATATAGTATTTTTTTTAAAAAATATTTTTATCAATATTTAAAACTTTATATATTTTATAAATTAGTTTTTATTACTTATAAATAAATAAAATTATTATTATAAAAAAATTTATTATTTACAAAATGATATTCATATTATATATTTTTTACAGCAATATAATTTTAGAATATTTAAATATATATTTTAATTTTTTAATTATATATATTAAATTTATTTTAAAATTATCAATATTATTAATTATGTAAATAAATAATATTATCTCCGTCCGGCTTTAAAGTTCTCATTTATTTTTTTGTGTGTTGATATTTGAATATTAATTATTATATCAAAACCTAATATAAATTAAGAAAAAATTACAGAAATACTTTCATTAGTGACTTATAATACTAATAAAAGGACATTTGTAAATTTTTTTTTTTATATAAATATAAAGATATTTTTAATATTAAGTACAATAACACATAAATTAAATAGAATATTTAAAAACGGACGAACAAAGTATTATAATTTATTATTATTAATTAATTAAATATTATTATCATTAATAAAATGGGCCAATTACTTTGAATGTAAAGAGTAATTATATACTCTCCTCTCTTTCAAATTTATGCTTACTTTTTGAATTGTCCGAAAAATATTTTAAGTAAAAAAATATTTTATTTTTGTATTATTTTTTACTATAAAAAAATTGATAATTATTATTCACTTTTATTAAAATTTGTGTCCGGTGAAACACGACGGAGGCAATAGTAAATATTAAGACAGTAATACACCCGTCAATTTTAGTAACGAAAACTCAAAAGACCAAAATGAAACTAATAAATGTTGGGGAGAAAATGCATTGACCCGTCCTAAAATGTCAAAAAGATTTCTTCGTCTCCTAGCAAAGATAGATCCAAAAACGTCAGGCTAGATTCAGAAATAAGAAAAAGATCAAGGGCACGCTTGCAAATTCAAAAAATACATTTTGCTCGAAACTCGCCCAATCCATCCGCCATTTGTATCCATTTTACTGAAATTACAGTGGTTTCGTTCCACAGTAATGGCGAGAGAGGGAAAAAACTAAACCCCGAAAAATTACTAATAGATAAAAAAAAAGAAAAAGAAAAAGAAAAGAAAGCGGAACCCACTTGCAAACTGTGAATTGACGACCGAAAAAAAATATATATATAAGCCCTCCATAGTCTCACTCATCCCTTTACTACCGTCTGACGCTCACCTCCATTTCGGCTTTCCTCTGTTTTTTCCTTCCCAAAAAAATACCGATGAGCAAAAAACCCAGAAAAATAGAAAGAGGGAAGGGCTTATAAACTGGAGGTTACTTCAGAAAATGGAGGTGTAGAGGAGGAATAGATTTTAAGGGACGACGGTTTTTGACTTCGTTTATTATTTATTTATTTATTTTGTTATCTGCAATGCTTACATGAACCCGCCAGATCTCACACACATGCCTGTGTAGAATGTCGACGGGATTAGTTGTAGGGTTGTGTGTTTGGGGCTGAGTATGCGTGATTTCTGAGGTGGGTTTTTTTTTTTTTTTTTTTAATTTTGTTTGTTTGGGGGTTGGTTTTGGGGGTGGGGAAGTTTAATTGATGGCTGGAGAGGCAAGCGGTGGGGGGAGTATTGAGGTGCCGCCATGGCTGAAATCCATGGCGGTGGCGCCGGAGTACCACCCGACGCCGGCGGAGTTTCGAGATCCAATTGCGTACATTTTCAAAATTGAGAAAGAGGCTTCCAAGTATGGTATTTGCAAAATAGTCCCCCCTGTGCCTGCTGCTCCGAGGAAGACAGTAGTTGCTAATTTGAACAGGTCTCTCTTGGCCCGGGCCCCCGACCCTGATTCCGGGCCGGGCTTCACCACACGGCAGCAGCAGATCGGGTTTTGTCCGAGGAAGCACCGCCCGGTGCAGAAGCCGGTGTGGCAGAGTGGGGAGAGGTACACCCTAACCGAATTCGAAACCAAGGCCAAGAATTTCGAGAAGAATTATCTGAGAAAGTATAGCAAGAAGGGTTTGAGTGCTCTGGAGGTCGAAACCCTTTACTGGAATGCGACTGTGGATAAGCCTTTCACTGTGGAGTATGCCAATGACATGCCGGGGTCCGCATTTGTGGCGGTGAAGGGCGGTGGGGCGTCGAAGAGTGAGGGTGCTGCAGCTACTACTGTGGGGGCGACTGAGTGGAATATGAGGAGAGTGTCGAGGGAGAATTTATCCTTGTTGAGGTTCATGAAGGAGGAAATACCTGGAGTGACGTCGCCCATGGTTTATGTTGCAATGGTGTTTAGCTGGTTTGCTTGGCACGTAGAAGATCATGACTTACATAGCTTGAATTATTTGCATATGGGTGCAGGGAAGACGTGGTACGGCGTGCCACGTGAAGCTGCTGTGGCTTTTGAAGAAGTGATCCGCGAGCATGGATACGGTCAAGAGATAAATCCTCTAGGTGAGATGTTCTTCTATGTTTTTTAAGCTTTTATTATAATTTTGATGAAGGCAATAATGTTATTTAAGCCGAATGCTCGATACTGCAATCACTAATCTGTAAATGGTATGATGTTGAATTTGTGGTAGAAGGAATTAGGGTACTCATGTAAGAGGACTCGATTTGGGGGTTCAGAATAGAATAATGATGATATGCTGAATATGTGTATATTGCTTGTTTTACATCTCCTGGCATGCTTAATCAAATTTTTGTAATATTATCATTAAGTTTCTCCGACTAGTCTTTGCTCGTTAGTCAATTAAGTAGTGGATTATGAATGACCAGATGCTCAAGTGTGCCTTTTCAAATTCGTGTATGGTTTCTGACTTCTTGGTGATATGAGAGTCAAAGATGATCGTATTTGTTATCCTTGAATATAGAAAACGGTAACTGATTAACAAAGATGCTCGTGTCTTGGCTGAGCAGCCGCAACGTAGGCTTCTGGCCATTCTGTGATTTTTTTCTCGAGTCTTTGTTCATTTCCGTAACCCTTTGTACTTATAGAAACATTTCAGCTTGGTTAGGCGATGAGCATTCCTCGAGTAACCAGGGAAACTTTTGAATTATGGCTCAAGAAATGAATGGCCCTGCGTTTGGCTCAAGTTTTTTCTTCCCTGTTAGTTTATTCCTTTTAGTTTTTATTACTTCTTGAATAATAGACTGTTAGATGAGGGTCTCCCCACTTTATAGATAATAGACGAGCACTGTTCATTAGTTATTAATTGAAATCTGTTTCCGAGCCAGTAGATAACTCACTGTTTTTCTATGACTAGAATTCACATATAATATGCCTCAAGTGTCTAAAATCCCTAGAGCCTCGTTGTAATACCTTACAAATTTGAGACTGAAATACCTTATGCTATGCTTGAGGAGCTACTGTCGAAATAGCATTTTGGTCATTTTGGCCATCCATTGCATTTTCGAATGTGTCAGACTGTTTGATCTATAAGAAACCACTTGTTCTCCTATATCTGGTACTTTTTATCCATTCAAATTACGAGGTCCATATTTGTTTTATTCAGTCTTTGATTGGTTTTGCTGTATCCTATTGCTCCCTTTAATTCTTCACAACTATCAGAAGCTTTTCTTCTCTCCATCCTATCTTAATACGAAGTTTGGGCCCCTTAATCTGAGTATTGCTTTTCTTCGGTAGTTTAGACTTTAGATTAGTTTCTGTTTCAAAATGGCACTCAATGATATTATTTTGAAGATGTACGTTTTGTAAATTATTTAAGTACCTTTTGTTGCAAACTTTGTTTTCTATCCGACACGGAAATTCTTTTATGTTAAATTAATTACTATAGACCAGAAAAGTAATGCTAGTTTGCACACCAGTTTAGGGTTGATAGATTTCAACTACATCATTGACAAACTAATTGTCTTTAACAATGCATATAAATCTTTGATCAAGATATCTCAATTCAATTATTTTGCATTGTGCTTATTCATGGATGTTCTTTCCCTTGATAATCGAAACATATTGGAAGTGTGGATGATAGATTGAGGTAGCACTTTAAGCATGAGAGAAGCCTTTTGTGCTGCATATGCACGCAGCAGTATCATAAAATTTTCTCCACATTTATCCTGGGCCATGAATCCATTATCTTTTGAGTTTCTCTTCCGGCATGCACAGTTGGAAATCATGATTACCTATGTTTGAAAATACAGTTTGATTGTTATATGCTGCTCCAGCTTTGTTTTAAACTCTTGACAATAAGCTTCACCGTTGCATTTTCTTTCAGTTACATTTGCCACACTTGGCGAGAAGACCACCGTCATGTCTCCTGAAGTGCTTCTTAGCGCAGGGGTTCCTTGCTGCAGGTTAAAATTTTTATGTTATTTTATTCCTGTTTATCACTAGTAGAAACCTGTTATGGAGTTACTCTCTATTCGATATATATCATCAGTAGTTACTCTCTATTATCACATATTTAGAATAGCTGTGACTAAATCATCCTCTATCTTCATCAATTTCTTGACTTAGGCTTGTTCAAAATGCTGGGGAGTTTGTTGTCACATTCCCAAGAGCTTATCACTCGGGGTTTAGTCATGGTAAGATCTGTATAATTTCCTTCCTTGTCTCTTTGTCCATTTATTAGAATTGTTGTCTTCCTGTATTTATCTATGTATGCTGTTGTTTTAGTATCAATATCTTTAACAAAGAGCATCTTATCTATACGTTCATATGGTTTTAGGATTTAACTGTGGAGAGGCTGCTAATATTGCTACCCCTGAATGGCTGAGATTTGCAAAGGAAGCAGCAATTCGTAGGGCAGCTACTAATTGCTCTCCTATGGTGTCTCACTTCCAGTTGCTATATGACCTTGCACTTTCTCTATGCTCGAGGTTTGTTTCTATAAGTTCGGTATTTTAGTTTGTAAAAGATTTGCTATATTTTATAGATTCTTGTTGTTAGTTATTCTCACCAATTCAAAGGTTTTAAGCTTAGAACAAGATTGTTTCCTTCAATTTCTCGTTTGACGAGCATTAGATATCTCAGCACTTCTGCTTACTGGAACAAGGAATTGGATTATCTTTTCATGTATTCAGTATAGATGGCTGTGATTAAGCAATAGCCTCGTAATCTTGTAGTGTTAGCGTTTTTTATTGAGACTCATAATTTAGTTTTTTCAGAATAGCTTCTATTGCAAATGCATTCATTTTAATATAAACGATGTTTACTTGTTTGAAACTCTGAAGTCTGCAATCCAAATATTCGTGCTGTGGGTCGTTCTAAGCATCTGGGAAAGTTATTTAAACCTTTTGTAGTTATAGCCTATAGGAAGACACTTTCTTGAAGAACTAGTTTCTAATCGGAAGAGTATAGACTTGTAGCATTAATTAGGCTTTTCTACCTCCGAAGTACTCTCCATATGGTCTTGTCTTAAGGTTTCCCATTGGCTAATTGGAAGCTTCTTGAATAAAGTTCAAAAGGGGTTTTCTTGCATCCTCAAAATTATGATCCAAGATCATTTGTTCATGGTGTTACATTGAGAGCATTTTCTTCTTTCATTTATCACTGTACTCGGTGATATGCAGCTCCCTTCAGTTCTAGCTTGCAAATATGATGGCTGTATTGCATTATGCTTTGCCGTAAATGAAATTGATGCATAAAGTTGTGCATTGTTCTTATACACATTAAACATGATCCTTATTCTCTGTACATGTTTATTCAGAGTACCAAAGAGCATTGCTGTGGAACCCCGGAGTTCTCGGTTAAAGGACAGGAAGAAAGGCGGAGGAGAAATGTTTATCAAAGAATCATTTTTCCTGGACATGATGCAAAACAATGACATGCTTCATGTTCTTGGGAAAGGATCATCGGTTGTGCTTCTTCCCCAAAATTCCCTAGATCGCTCAACCTGTTCCAATGGTTCGGATGGACTGCAGCCCAAAACCAAATCTAGGCTCTTCCCGAGTTTGTGCAGCTCTGATCTTGAGTTGAAAACCTCTTGCAACAATGATTGTGAAGATTTCATGTTAGATAGGAAGCAGGGAATTAAACAAGCCAGACGATATACTGTGAATAAAAGAACAGTTTCTTCTTTTTGCAGTAGCAGTAGTGAGGTTCCTTCTATTGTTCCTAAAGTCGAGGCAACAAATTCTGAAACCAGGAAAGCTTCTCACTGTGAACAGGGACTCTTTTCTTGTGTTACTTGTGGGATATTATGTTTCTCGTGTGTTGCTATTGTTCAACCAACGGAAGCAGCTGCGCGTTACTTGAGGTCTGCTGACTGCAGTACATTTAATGATTGGGTAGTCGATGATATTGACAATTATACCAGCGAGGCAAAGCCTACTATTGCAGAAATTGGTTCAGGTATATATTTTAATTGCAGAGTTTTGCTGGTTATTTGCTGATTAGGTACGAAGTAACTATGACGTCTTGACTATTATACTAGCATATATGAAAAGAATGCATGCGCGCATGAATTGGATTATCAATGAGCTGTGCTAAGTACTCTTAAACATTTCTTTTCCCTGTGATTAGATATTCTGCTAAACCTAAAAGTTGAAACTCGTAGGAAGATGCATTCTTTAATAGTTATATATATATGTGTATTAATTCTTGCTCGAGGAACACATTATGAATGGATTATAGTTGGAATTAAAACATCGGACCTCAATTCCATGTTAAATGTTTCTCGCCAAAAGTTTTAACTGATTACACACATTTATATATAATACTCCCTTCGTTTTGAATTCTTTGCTAGTTTTTATTATGGTACGGTTTCTTAAGAGGTGTAATTTTGATAGTTTTTGTACTATTATGCCCTTATTTTTTGTTTATAATGTTCTTATATATTGTATTTAGAAGGTAAAATAGAAAAAAATGTGCAAATTAACAGAAGTTTGTAAATGTTTTAGTACAATTGCAAATAAGAAGTAATAGCAGAAGATTTGGGAATGAGGTAGTATTTATTTATATTTGTGGCACTTGTCTTTTGTTTATGCATAAGCTAGAAAGGGCAGTATAGCTATGACATGATCATGAAATTTGTGTCAAATATATTATACTCTACTAATTTTGTAATCTGATGATGTAACTTTCAAATTTTCGATTATGCATTTGGAAAATGCTACCAGTATTTTCTCTTAAATATGTGGCTATGACTCATGTTGTGAACTATCTGTTTCTTTGCAGCGCCGGGGAACACACAAAACAGAATCGGAAGCATCACGGATGACGAGAAAGAGCCCTCGTCGCTTGGTCTATTAGCTTTGGCATACGGCAATGCCTCTGATTCTGAGGAAGATAATAAGGAGATTGAAACTGATATTCCTGTCAAAAGCTGTGGAATTGGTGATAGTGACGACCCCGGAAATGGCCCTGCTTGTAATGATATTGATATGGAAAACGGAGTGGATGAAACTTCTTCACCTATGTCCGATTCTAATGCAAAGGGAGTTGAACTTGCTGTGGCAAAAGGGGAGGAGGAAGATCCGGCATGCAGCGAATCTCCGACAAACAATTGTACTGTGGTTGAGACAGATTCTTCAACTCATAAAACCGAAGCAACTCCCGGAACTGGTTTGACATTTCTGTCAGACGCAATTCTACCGTTCTCCAAAATATCTCAGGAAGATTCTTTGAGATTGTTCTCCAAGAGATCTGATGAAGATTCTTCTCGATTGCACGTCTTCTGTCTGCAGCACGGTATGCAAGTAGAAAAGCGGCTCAGTCAGATTGGTGGAGCCCGCGTGTTCCTCGTCTGTCATCCAGGTGACATTTTTACTAGATCAGATTTTCTTTTACCTTTATTTCCGATTGTGAAAATTAGTATCTCCCGGTCAGGCAAATTTTTGAGCCTTCCGATTTCGTATCATCAAATTGGAATTGCCATGTGATTTCTTGGTTGGCTAATATTTAGGGCAATTGGAAATTGCTTCCAGAGTAACTTAGCATAATTTGTGGACGTGACGAAATTGAATAAATTTAGCAGTGGCAAGATTGAACATATTTTTTAGGTGTAGAAAGACCAAGTTATCGCCTTTTCAAAACTAATATAATAAAAATGATTGAACATGGAATTGCGGCTCTTTCTTCTTTCTATTTTCGTTGCCTCACTTTATGCTAAAGAATTGGCTGATGTTTTCACGAAATGTGGTACTAGAAGGTGTGAAAAGATCGTTCTTCGATTGTTTCTGCTACTTTTCGATGTTTTTAGTGTACATTGACATCCAGTCTATTTTTGATCAATATTCTTGTGATGCATTTTTCACTTCTATATTTATATTTCGGTCTTCTATATGCAGACTATCCCAAATTAGAGTCGCAGGCGAAGAAAGTTGGAGAAGAACTGGAGAGCGATCATATCTGGAGTGAAATTTCATTTCGGGAAGCCTCTGAGGAGGATGAGGAAATTATTCGACTGGCTTTAGACAGTGAAAATGCGATTCACGGCAACGGTGACTGGGCCGTGAAAATGGGCATTAACCTATTCTACAGCGCTAATCTTAGTCGATCTCCTCTTTACAGTAAGCAGATGCATTATAACTCCGTTATATACAGCGCCTTTGGCCGCAGTTCTCCGACCGACAGCCCTGCAGCGACTAGCGAGCCGGAGTCGAGGGGTTTTGGAAGGCAGAAGAGAATTGTTGTGGCCGGAAAATGGTGCGGCAAAGTCTGGATGTCGAACCAAGTTCATCCGCTGCTGGTCAGGAAGGATTCGCAAGAAAATGAATGGGATTTACCGATTGGGGCGTGGGTCACATCTGATTTCAATCGGGAGAGGCCGTCGGAGTTTAGCCGAGCTGCGCGGATAGCATCTGCGATTTGTCGGACAGCGAGAAAATTTAAAAAGAATGCGAAAAGGAGCTCGAAAACAAAGCAAACGAATAAGTTCTCTCTCGGGCTTTTGGTCAATAGCAGCCGTAAACAAACCAAGCGAAAGCGCGGCTCTGGAGCGACGAAGAACGTGAATCCCGAGGCTAAAGAAGACGTAGACGAATCTTCCGACGAAGTACAAGCAGCGAGCTATTGCAAGCAAGCTCGGAGCCGACGGGGCACCAAGAGATTGAAGAACGAGGGCGAGATCTCCGAGGCAGAAAATGTCGACGACTCTTCGGACGAATTCCCGCTTAGCAACACGTGGAAACGTATCAAGAGTAGAGTCGAGTCGAAAAGCCAACAAAGGAGCAAGAGTCAGTTAAACGAGCACACCGTCAAAGAAGACGAGGGAGACGGAGGGCCGAGCACGCGGCTGCGGAAAAGAAAAGCGAAAACGACCAAAGTTTCGGGATCCAGATCGACTAAATCAAAACCGACACCAAAGCAGCAGCAAAAGGATACGGAGGCGGCGACGACAAAGAAGAGCCAAGGCAAGGCAACAAAAATTCCCGGGAACAGCAACAAGGCGAAGATCAGAGACGAGGAAGGTGAGTACGAATGCGACATGGAGGGATGCACGATGAGCTTCGAGACAAAGCAGGAGCTCGCGCTGCACAAACAGAATATCTGCCTGGTGAAGGACTGTGGTAAACAGTTCTTATCTCACAAATATTTGATGCAGCACCGACGAGTCCACATGGAGGATCGCCCGCTGAAATGCCCGTGGAAAGGCTGCAAGATGACGTTCAAGTGGGCGTGGGCGAGAACCGAGCACATCCGCGTTCACACCGGGGCTCGGCCGTACGTTTGCACCGAGGCCGGGTGCGGGCAGACGTTTCGATTCGTATCGGATTTCAGTCGCCACAAGCGCAAGACGGGCCACTCGCCGAAGAAGATCAAAGGGTAACATTTTTAAGAGAATCGAAGTTCTAACATGGCTGATAGTCGACGTTTCGTTCTTTTTTTTTTTTTGCTATTTAACAGGAAATGTGGTAAAAATGGAAAACGGAAAGCGGTGTAGGTGTAGAGTTAGGTTCGAATGACGGATCTGTGTTGATGGATGTTGTAGGGTTTGGTTCGGGACCGGATGATTGATTGTGTTTAACGGCGGCGGCGATGATGATGATTCGTCGATGTCGATGTCGATGTAGGTTAGTCATTGCTTCATGTCGGACAGTAAATTCGATTCGATTCGATCCGATGGACTGCGAAAAATTAAAGCAGTGATTTAACGTGCCACAATTCGTCGGGACAGCCCCTTGTAGGTGTACTCAGTCTTCTTCTTCATTCCTCTTCATTAATGTTTGGGAACCCATGTTTTGAGTGCTTTCTTCTTTTTTTCAATTGCCTTGTGTTTTTTTGGCCTTCTTGCTTATATATATATATATATATATATATTTGAGTTTAGGGTTCTATGCTAGTATTTGCTTTGATTCGATATTTGATTGGTTTCAATTTTTTAAATGATATTTGTAGTCGCTTTAAAAAGTTTGGTTAGAGTTTCGTATTAAAATAATGTTCGGTTAGAATTTGGTATTAAAATAATGTTCGATAAAATATTGTCTTATTTTTTTTAGAGATCTTATAACTAATAATACATGTAATTATTTTATCATTTTTTCAAATCGACGCAAAAGAAATATATCTATTTATAGCTACAATAAAGTACAATTTGAAAATTCAATGGGAACATGACATGAAAAATTACAAAAATAAATTTAAAAATAAAAAATTTTAAAATTCGAACTGGCCTAGATCAATACGATTTGAATGGGCCTGTGCAACGGCTTATGCTTCCAGGCCCAAATAATTTAATAATGGGCCCGGCCTATTCACAGATAAAAATGGGCCGACTAATGGCGGATACAACTCATGGAGGTCATCAACATACACGTTACTAATAACCGCAAAATAAATGAGGTTCTCGACATATTGAGGTTGGCTGATGAGCAGTAGTTAGGGGTGAACACGGTTCGGATATTTGCAAGCCTAGATCAATATGATTTGAATCGGGCTGTGCAACGGCTTAGGCTTCCAGGCCCAATTTAATAATAGGCCCGACCTATTCACAAATAAAAATAGGCCGATCAGACTAATGGCGTATACCACTCATGGATGCCATCAACATACACATTACTAGTAACCGGAAAATAAATGAGGTTCCCAATTATTATGAAAGTTGAGGGTTGATTGATGAGCAGTGGTTAGGGGTGGACCGGTTCGGGTATTTATAAAAATTTGATATCCGAATTGAATCGAACAAATACCCGAAATCGTGAAGCGTATCCGAATCGAAAATTTCAGTTAACCGAAAATATTTGCAATATTTGCAAATAACTCGTAGCAAACCGAAATTAAAAAAAATACATTAAAAAATAACGAAAATTATTGTAATTAAATAAAAAATATTTTCAAATATTCAAATATCCGAATCGAAATCTAACTGAATATAATTATTAATTTAAAATTTAAAATATACTAATATAAATATATAAATATATTTGGTTCGGTTAACCGAACCGAAAAAAATGATCAAAAATCAAAACCGAATCGAACCGAACAAATATCAAATATGCAGTATTTGTATTCGAACCAAATTTACTCGGTTAATCGAAAATTCGGTTCGATTCAATATGATTCAATAGTTCAACGGTTCGATTTAATTTTTTTTGCCCACCCCTACCCCTAGCAGTGGTGGATGTATTAACCCTCCCCTATTTTATTGCATTATTTGATTTATTTTAAAAATATATATGTATATAATATGTAAAAAAATAAGAATAATAACATCAAATGTTGATTTTTTTTCTTTTTCTTTTTTTAACGAGAAATTGTACTATATTTTATTTCAGAATATACATATACAAATAATTACAATATATATAGTCATAATTGATGCTGATGTAATTTATTATTTTTTAATAAAATAAAAATAAAATATATGATTTAATAAATAAAATTTTAATTTTTAATTTACAAAATTCCCACCCCCTCTCGAAGTATTCTGGTCGGCAGCTAATAATACCTGCTAAGCAGCAGCAAGTGACTTCTTAGAATTAAATTGTGCTTGTACTTGAAGCTCCCAAAATTATAAATATTTTCTTTTTTTGTTTATAGATCCTGATTTGAAATTTTAAAAATTTGAAAGAACTTAAGATTGCTTGAGAGTTAACAAAATTTATTTCAAATCTCCAATACATAAACAAATAATTTAGAAAATGAAATATAACAATAAATAAAAAATCATAATATCATAGAATAAGAAGAAGTCATGGCAATAACAGTAAAACAAAAGCAAAGATGAAGTAGAAGAGTATAGAATGCAGCTGCGAAGTAAAAATCTTGACTATAGGTCCTGTGAGAAATAACACATTATAATATCATAAGACAAACAAGCCGAATATAATCGGTGCCAAAATTTAAATCATAATCATAAGGTATGAAATTCAGATGTCGATCTTTTCGAATTCAACGAGAAACCTCAGTCTCAAATATCTTGAGTGTTTGAGATTAGTAGCATTAATATCGAGACGGGAATTTTGAGTTTCGTAATAACAACCTTTAATAGACACCAACTCAAGCGATGGACACCAACTCAAGCAATGGACATTTGGATAGAAACCTTTGCAACTCTTGTGGGGCAATGTCGACCATATGAAGCCTAAGTTCGGCAAGCAAACTGAAACCATTGAAAGTAGGAGCCAGTTCGACGCTGATTCCTACAAGCTCCAAGTATTTGATTTTAGGAGCATCAACATCATGTACCCAAAATGTTTCTGTCAGCTCGTGGAGAGACAGCCACTCAAGCTTCGGACAGCTAGAGATAAACATGCGTAGCTCATCGTAGGTAATCTGGACATGTTCAAGACTAAGCTTGACAAGCTCAGGAAAACCTCGGAAAGTAGTAGGCAAAGTGATCTCAACTAAAGTAAGCTGCAGATGCCTCAGGAGATGAAAACTTAATAGATCACTAGGTAAGGCATAAAGAGTGGTTTCGGTCCAAACTTGGAGTGAGAACTCCTCAATACAGTTGCTTTTCAAGATCTTGAGCCAGCGATCGACAACCATATGGCCAGAGTTTGTATATTCAAGTGAAAACTTTCGAATGGGTCCTTTGTGTAATAGCAGTGTGTGAGAAATGACACATTCAGGGGGGCATTCTGAAGGCAACGATTCCATGAAGTCGTGATCGAAATTTAGATGTGGAACTGATAACCACTTATACCTCCATTCTCTTGATAGCACACTAGTTCTCACCACATCTTTCAACGGCAAGTGTTTAAGAATTTCGTCGATGACGTTGTCAGGAAGCCTGGTGATTCTGTCGGAAGCCATTTACCATTAAATGATTCTTCACCTGATTACAAAATAAAACAACAGATTCAAAATGGCAGTTAATAGCACAACCCATATGTTGTCCCCAATCATTAAACCCTAATTTATTTTACCGGGTCAAAAAGTGAGGATAACTTCAAGAAAAACTTAGATCCATAATGTTTTTTAAAATCAAACAAAATCTAAGCAAGAAAAAAAAACTCGCAGAGAGTTTGCGCGTTGTTAGCAAAAAACCATCAAAATTTTACCCCAAATTAAAGGAGTTGTAGATAATCGTTTGTTTGTAATCTTACAAAATTCAACAAAATCTAGACAAGAATGAAAGCCCTAAAAGCAAAGAGAGTGTGCGTGAGTCTTAACCATAGAAACCTTACCCCAAGTTGAAGCTGATGTAGAAAATTGATTGTGTGAAGATAAAGCATTCAACAGAAACACAAGACGCAGCAAACAACAACAATAATCGATTAGACTTGTAGGGTTTTTGTGATAAACCAAATGTGCTAATTTATTTGGTTTAAGCAGTATCCCTCTCCGGTCTGACTTTAAATATTTAGTTTACTTTTTATTATTAATACTTACATTTTTATTTTAAACCTTACCCCAAGTTGAAGCAGATGTAGAAAATCGATTGTGTGAAGATAAAGCATTCAACAGAAACACAAGACGCAGCAAACAGCAACAATAATCGATTAGACTTGTAGGGTTTTTGTGATAAACCAAATGTGCTCATTTATTTGGTTTAAGCGGCGGACACCTGTCCGCCTTTTCTGTTTTTATTACCAGTATCCCTCTCGGGTCTGACTTTAAATATTTAGTTTACTTTTTATTATTAATATTTACATTTTCATTTTAAACCTTACCCCAAGTCGAAGCAGATGTAGAAAATCGATTGTGTGAAGATAAAGCATTCAACAGAAACACAAGACGCAGCAAACAGCAACAATAATCGATTAGGCTTGTAGGGTTTTTGTGATAAACCAAATGTGCTAATTTATTTGGTTTAAGCGGCAGACACCTGTCCGCGTTTTCTGTTTTTATTATTAGTGTCCCTCTACGGTCTGACTTTAAATATTTACTTTACTTTTTATTATTAATACTTACATTTTTATTTTAAATTTTATATATAATATATATTTCATTTCCTTCCAATGTACGTTTTTTAACCTTTTGATTTGTCTATTAAAAATTACATTAATACAAAAATACTAATTTTATATAATTACAAACTATAAAGACGTATGATTAAAAAAATGACCTATAGAGTAAATTTTTTTTTTTTCTAAAAAAATGGTTTGATTGTTAATTTTCTTTTACACGATATAACGATTATTTGCATGTATTTTATCAACGGACAATAGAAAATTGGGAGATTTGAGTATGGAATGAGTGTTCTCTTTAAAGACACCGGCCCAGGCCATTGCTCTTTTCAACTTTTAGGGTAGCTTCTAATCAAGAAAACAACAAATGTGACATTATCCAAGATTTCAAAATTCACATCATTGAGTTCAATCATCATTGATCAGATCGTTGAGCTGTCGAGGAAGTTTTTGCAGCACACCACCCAGAGCCAAGAATTAATGAAAACAAATAAGGTGAACTCCATATTATTCCGCGCCTTAAGAAAGTTAATAAATTAAATGGCTGGCTCGGGAATCCAAACCATCTACGCACTCAAACAAGATCAAGCTATATGTAGTTCTAAGTTAGCAAATACATGAGACTCACGTATAGAAACACCTAAGGAAACAAAAAACAAGAAAAACAATGGAACTGAAATGATAATGCAAAGAAATCCTGTATGACCCTACCCTATCTGAACCGGAAGCTTGAGAGTCCAGCAGCGTCAACACGGAGCAAGACATTCATTTTTGTTTTTCCTCTTAGATTTTGATTTAACGAGGAGATCTTAGTTACAAGTTTACCGTATACTGCTTAATTACAAAGCTCACATTTATATTGATGCTAGAGTATAATATAGTTTTATTGGCAATTTTATATTTATACATTCAACGATAGAATGATCCAATATAGAAATTAAGAATTATATATACTTGAAACCTCTCATACTCTCCGTTGTCGGAAAAAAAAAAACAAGACAAAACAAACCCTATATATTATGATACTAATTAAAATAACAACATTCTGTTTTCTTTGCTTTCTCATGTATTCAGTCAAGGATCCAATTTACAATTGATTGACATGTTTGACAACAACATGGCAACCTCCAAGTCTTCTGCGCGATGCTCATCCTCTTTGCCGAGGTCAAGCAGGGCATCTGTGCATTCTTTGTCAAGATGGCTTATGCTCCCTCCTTGCTCATTATTGTCTCTCTAAAAAAATTAAACCAATTGATTGAATAAAATATAGTGCGTGCGGACATACACACTTAAATATATATGTGAATTTATGTGCAGACAATGAATCAAATGCTTGAATATCTCGTTTTAAGTAGCAAATGATGAAGATAGCAATGAAATCATGTCATATCTTGTTAAGAAACACACCTAGGATTAAGTAGGCGAGTGTTGCAATTGTCTTGTTTTGCATTCTTTTTTGACTTTCTTCCTTCGTTTAGAATGTTCTTCGTTGTAGGCTTAAAGTCCTGCACAAGAAATGAGCCATCGTAATTGTCAATAGACCACGATGGTTAAGGTTCATTACCATATCTTTGGCCCAGTGATAATAAGTAGGAATGTGTGTTCAATGAAGAGGCTGCATTGAAGTGCAGTGTTGACAATGATGGTGCCATTTAATCGGTTCCTGCATATTTTGATGAAAAAGAAAGTGATGTACAACGTGTTAGAAATTTAGATCCTGCACTTCTGAATGGTAGCATCAGCAGCGTCTCGAATACAACTACACAATTCAGTTCGAGAAACAGTAGCAGCGCAGAATCGTCACTATCCTCTATCCGACACAGCTGCAGTGCAAAATTGTCAACATCAACTGTCCAGAATAGCAGTAGCACTGAATAGATGCCAAGAAAATTTAAATCTGTTAGAAAAATTTTTGAATCATGTGAGTTTGCTTTTTTAACGTTTGATCCTATGTCTTTTGAAGAAGCTGTACAAAAATCAGAATGGAAAGAAGCTATGGCAGAGGAACTGAATGCTATTGAAAAAGACTCCACTTGGGGGTTGGTCGGTGTCCCACATGATAGAAATGTTGTTGGCTTGAAATGGGTGTTTTGTACCAAATATAATCCGGATGGAAGTATTCAAAAGCATAAAGCTAGACTCGTCGCAGAAGGATATTCACAACTACATGGTATAGACTTTGACAAAACTTTTACTCCGATTGCTCGCTTTGAAAATGTGAGAATAATTTTGTCAATTTATCAATTTGATGTGAAGTCAACTTTTTTAAATGGTGCATTGGAAGAGGTGTATGTTTTTTTCAATCTCCTGTATTTAATGTTATTGACAGTGAAGATAAGATTTATAGGTTACGGTAAACTCTTTATGGGTTGAAACAAGCTTCATGGGCTTGGTACAGTGAAATTGATTCATTCTTTCACAGAAATGGATTCTCAAGAAGTGAGACCTACTCTATATATAAAGAAGAAATGTAATGATGATTTCTTGTTGGTTTGTTTATATACTGATGATATGGTATATCTTGTATCGTGAAAGGCCTTACTTGATGATTTTAGCATGATGGGCTAATTCAATATGAGAGACCTTGGGTTGCTAAAATATGTTTTTGGGACTCAGGGTTATTCAAAGTAAAGATGATATTTTTGTGGATCAAAACTTCTATAATTGCAAAAAAATTCAGATTTGTTGGTTTCACCAATAGTGATATATGGCTGTGTTCATTGATGATCGCAAAAGTGTGTCCAGTAATGTATTTAATCTTGGTTCTGGAGTAGTAACATGGAGCTCTAAGAAACAAGACACAATAGCTCTATCATCATGTGAAGTGGAATATTAAGCAGCAACTAGGGCAGCAAAGTAAGCATTGTGGATTCGGAAACTTCCGACATATTTGGATCATGAACAGAAGAAGGCAACACAAATTTTTTCTGATAACAAGGCAGTGATTTGCAATTGCCAAAAATCCAGCTTTCTATGGGAGGACAAAAGATATTGACTTGCAGCATCACTTCATTCAACAACTTGTAGCAGATGGAATAATTGCAGTGACGTTTTGTGGAACCAACGAGCAAGTAGCAGATATCTTCACCAAGTCACATTCTCAAGCCAATACGATTATTTCAAGATGCGTATGATAGTCACAAGCTTTGAAGCAAGGAGGAGTGTTAATTAAGTTCTTCAAATTAGTAACTAATATTGTTATTAAATAATATGTGCACATATTTTAGGAGTTGTATTAAGTTATTTTAGGAGTTCCAATCGTTTTTTTAAAATTTGCATTTCTAATATTTGATAATTATTGTATCAGATATTGTATCATTATTGTTTGTATTTCTTCCTCACATATTTTTTTCTTCTTGTTTTGCTATCATCAAGTTAATGGAGCATAGTTTCACCAGAATCCACATCCAGCAAGTAGGGATTTTTTATATTTCTTCGACTGAAGGAATTGATCGACTCGGATTTTGTGCAATGGGGAGCTGAGAAGGAGCATTGCCCTACTCTTGAGCGGCTTCGACTTTGTAATTTGGGTTCATTGGAAAGAACCCCTTCCGGCATTGGAGATATTTCAACATTACGTAGAATTGAATTGGTTAACGGTAGTAGATCTACTTTGAAGTCGGCATATGAAATATGCATGGGAGGAACAACAAGACATGGGATTTGAGACACTTGAGGTTCTAGTCTGGCATAAGAGTAAATGGTGTCCAATCAATGATGTCATCTCACAAAAAATCTCGGGGGAGCGAACATGTGGACTTGATGATGATGATGGCAAGTCTATATATATAAGCTCGGAAGATGGAGATGACGAGTCTGTCAATTCAAGATCTGAAAATGCATGCGAAGATATTGGAGACAATGAGTCTAAAGATATATGCGAAGATGGAGATGATTAGTCTGAAGATAGAACTGAAGATGGAGATGATGAATCTAAACATATTGACAAGATGTGTCGAAACATGAAGATGATGAATGTAAAGATTATTAGATATTTCATTTTCGAGTTTGATTCATGGAGATGGTCCTAATCCATGTCATAAATTGGTATCAGAGCGGTTGTTGATTTGATCATAAGATTTCGAAGCTATCTTGTTTACAACATGTTCGATCATATGCCTCTATGTCCTGTTTGATCAAATTTGTGCTAAAATATAGGTTTAATTCATGCTATTTAGAGATAGATCATAGTTTTTGGAGATAGCCAGCTCGTTGTTGTAAAAATTTACTCTCTAGTGGAAATGATAGGTAGTTCAAATCCATTGTTAGTTGTCAAACATAGTTGTGTTGTTGAATTTGTTTCTCAAGAAAACACAAGTAGCAGTGATTTTTTTGCCGGCACTAACAAACTTTGCGCATAGTTTTCTAAGTGTTCTTAGACCTTGGCTGAGTAATATGGTTTATTTTTATTTTTATTTTTATTTTTTTTATCGGAGTAATATGGTTGATTTTGAGCCTAAACACATGGAATTAAGTGAATTGAGGGCTTAGAAGCTTGATTTTGTGGGTTTTGTTGGTAATTCGTATTTTGGCCGTAACTTTTGCATACGAACTCCGATTTACTACTGTGAGGAGGTTTCGGTATCGGCATCGGCGTCGAATCCTTAATAAATTTTTTATTGATTAGCAATATAATTATTTTAATTATAGAAATAATCAAAATTACGTTCCAAAATTATTAAATTTTCACTACCCTTAATTAGGGTAATTAGGTGTATAAATGAGCTTAAAATTATATTATAATTTACTTTTATTATAAAATTAAATAGATTATTTTTTATCTTTAAAAAAATATATTAATTATAATTTTATTAATTATGATATACTTAATAACATTTAATACATATTTATCTGTTTTTTATATGTATATAAATAACATCAATGTTGATTTCTTTTTATTTGAATGAGAAATTGTACAAATTTTTATTTCAGAATATACATGTACAAATAATTTCAATATATATAGTCACAATATATAGTCATAATATATTGATGCTGATGTAATTTATTATTTTTCAATAAAATAAAAATAAAATATATTATTTAATAAATAAAATTTTATTTTTTGATTTACAAAATTTTCCCCCCACCCCTCTCGAAGTATTCTGGTCGGCGGCTGATTATAACTGCAAGCAGCAAGTGACTTTTTGGATTATGTACAAATAAAATTTAAATGTTTTCTTTTTTGTTTATAGATCCTGATTTGAAATTTTAAAAATTTGAAAGAACTTAAGAGTGCTTGAAGAGTTAACAAAATTTATTTCAAATCTCCAATACATAAACAAATAATTTAGAAAATGAAATATAACAATAAATAAAAAATCATAATATCATAGAATAAGAAGAAGTCATGGCAATAACAGTAAAACAAAAGCAAAGATGAAGTAGAAGAGTATAGAATGCAGCTGCGAAGTAAAAATCTTGACTATGGGTCCTGTGAGAAATAACACATTATAATATCATAAGACAAACAAGCCGAATATAATCGGTGCCAAAATTTAAATCATAATCATAAGGTATGAAATTCAGATGTCGATCTTTTCGAATTCAACGAGAAACCTCAGTCTCAAATATCTAGTTCAAGTTGGATAAGACTCGAGTGTTTGAGATTAGTAGCATTAATATCAAGACGGGAATTTTGAGTTTCGTAATAACAACCTTTAATATACACCAACTCAAGCAATGGACACCAACTCAAGCAATGGACATTCGGATAGAAACCTTTGCAACTCTTGTGGGGCAATGTCGACCATATGAAGCCTAAGTTTGGCAAGCAAACTGAAACCATTGAAAGTAGGGGCCAGTTCGACGCTGATTCCTACAAGCTCCAAGTATTTGATTTTAGGAGCATCAACATCATGTACCCAAAATGTTTCTGTCAGCTCGTGCAGAGACATCCACTCAAGCTTCGGACAGCTAGAGATAAACATGCGTAGCTCATCGTAGGTAATCTGGACATGTTCAAGACTAAGCTTGACAAGCTCAGGAAAACCTCGGAAAGTAGTAGGCAAAGTGATCTCAACTAAAGTAAGCTGCAGATGCCTCAGGAGATGAAAACTTAATAGATCACTAGGTAAGGCATAAAGAGTGGTTTCGGTCCAAACTTGGAGTGAGAACTCCTCAATACAGTTGCTTTTCAAGATCTTGAGCCAGCGATCGACAACCATATGGCCAGAGTTAGTATATTCAAGTGAAATCTTTCGAATGGGTCCTTTGTGTAATAGCAGTGTGTGAGAAATGACACATTCAGGGGGGCATTCTGAAGGCAACGATTCCATGAAGTCGTGATCGAAATTTAGATGTGGAACTGATAACCACTTATACCTCCATTCTCTTGATAGTACACTAGTTCTCACCACATCTTTCAACGGCAAGTGTTTAAGAATTTCGTCGATGACGTTGTCAGGAAGCCTGGTGATTCTGTCGGAAGCCATTTACCATGAAATGATTCTTCACCTGATTACAAAATAAAAGAACAGATTCAAAATGGCAGTTAATAGCACAATCCATATGTTGTCCCCAATCATTAAACCCTAATTTATTTTAGCGGGTCAAAAAGTGAGGATAACTTCAAGAAAAACTTAGATCCATAATGTTTTTTAAAATCAAACAAAATCTAAGCAAGAAACAAAAACTCGCAGAGAGTTTGCGCGTTGTTAGCAAAAAACCATCAAAATTTTACCCCAAATTAAAGCAGTTGTAGATAATCGTTTGTTTGTAATTTTACAAAATTCAACAAAATCTAGGCAAGAATGAAAGCCCTAAAAGCAAAGAGAGTGTGCGTGAGTCTAAGCATAGAAACCTTACCCCAAGTTGAAGCTGATGTAGAAAATTGATTGTGTGAAGATAAAGCATTCAACAGAAACACAAGACGCAGCAAACAACAACAATAATCGATTAGACTTGTAGGGTTTTTGTGATAAACCAAATGTGCTAATTTATTTGGTTTAAGCAGTATCCCTCTCCGGTTTGACTCTAAATATTTAGTTTACTTTTTATTATTAATACTTACATTTTTATTTTAAATCTTACCCCAAGTTGAAGCAGATGTAGAAAATCGATTGTGTGAAGATAAAGCATTCAACACAAACACAAGACGCAGCAAACAACAACGATAATCGATTAGACTTGTAGGGTTTTTGTGATAAACCAAATGTACTAATTTATTTGGTTTAAGGGCTCTGACACCTCTGTCCGCCTTTTCTGTCTTTATTACCGGTATCCTCTCCTGTCTGATTTTAAATATTTAGTTTACTTTTTATTATTGATACTTACAGTTCCATTTTAAATTTTATATATAATATATATTTCATTTCTTCCAACTGTACTTTTTTTAACCTTTTGATTTGTCTATTAAAAATTACATTAATACAAAAATACTATTTTTATATAATTACAAACTATGAAGAACGTATGATTAAAAAAAATGATCTATAGAGTAATTTTTTTTTTCTAAAAAAATGGTTTGATTGTTAATTTTCTTTTACACCATATAAGGATTATTTGCATGTATTTTATCAATGGACAACAGAAAATTGGGAGATTTGAGTATGGAATGAGTGTTCTCTTTAAAAGACACCGGCCCAGGCCATTGCTCTTTTCAACGTTTAGGGTAGCTTCTAATCAAGAAAACAACAAATGTGACATTATCCAAGATTTCAAAATTCACATCATTGAGTTCAATCATCATTGATCAGATCGTTGAGCTTTCGAGGAAGTTTTTGCAGCACGCCACCCAGAGCCAAGAATCAATGAAAACAAATAAGGTGATATCCATATTATTCCGCGCCTTAAGAAAGTTAATAAATTAAATTGCTGGCTCGGGAATGCAAACTATCTATGCACTCAAACAAGATCGAGCCATATGCAGTTCTAAGTTAGCAAATACATGAGACGCACTTATGGAAACACCTAAGGAAACAAAAAACAAGGAAACCAATGGAACTGAAATGATAATGCAAAGAAATCCTGTATGACCCTACCCTATCTGAACCGAAAGCTCGAGAGTCCCGCAGTGTCAGCACGGAGCAAGACATTCATTTTTGTTTTTCCTCTTAAATTTTGATTTAATGAGGAGATCTTATAAATTACAAGTTTACCATATACTGCTTAATTACCAAGCTCACATTTATATTGATGTTAGAGTATAATATAGTTTTATTGGCGATTTAATAGTTATACATTCAACGATAGAATGATCCAATATAAAAATTAAGAATTATATATACTTGAAACCTCTCATACTCCCCGTTGTCGGAAAAAAAAAAAGACAAAACAAACCCTATATGTTATGATACTAACTAATAAAGCAACATTCTGTTTTCTTTGCTTTCTCTATTCAGTCAAGAATCAAATTTACAATTGATCGACATGTTTTTGACAACAACATGGCAACCTCCAAGTCTTCTGCGCGATGCTCATCCTCTTTGCCGAGGTCAAGCAGCGCATTTGTGCATTCTTTCTCAAGATGGCTTGTGCGCCCTCCTTACTCATTATTGTCTCTCTAAAACAATTAAACCAATTGATTGAATAAAATATAATGTGTGCAGACACACACACATACATATATATGTGAATTTATGTGCAGACAATGAATCAAATGCTTGAATATCTCGTTTTAAGTAGCAAATGATGAAGACAGCAATGAAATCATGTCATTTCTTGTTAAGAAACACACCTAGGATTAAGTAGGCGAGTGTTGCAATCGTCTTGTTTTGCATTCTTTTTTGACTTTCTTCCTCTCTTTAGAATGTTCTTTGTTGCAGGCTTAAAGTCCTGCACAAGAAATGAGCCAGCGTAGTTGTCAATAGACCGCGATGGTTAAGGTTTATTACCATATCTTCTGCCAAGTGATAATAAGTAGGAATTGCAGAGTGATAATAAGTAGGAATGTGTGTTCAATGAAGAGGCCGCATTGAAGTGCAGTGTTGACAATGATGGTGCCAGTTAATCGGTTCCTGCATATTTTGATGAAAAAAAAAGGGATGTACAAGGTGTTAGAAATTTAGATCCTGCACTTCTGAATGGCAGTATCAGCAGCCTCTCGAATACACCTACACAATTCAGTTCGAGAAACAGTAGCAGTGCAGAATCGTCACAATCCTCTATCCGACACAGCTACAGTGCAAAATCGTCACCATCGACTGTCGATAACAGTAGTAGCATTGAATTGACGCCAAGAAAATTTAAATCTGTTACAAAATTTTTTGAATCATGTGAGTTTGCTTTGTTAGCGTTTGATCGTATGTCTTTTGAAGAAGCTGTACAAAAATCAGAATGGAAAGAAGCTATGGTAGAGGAACTGAATGCTATTGAAAAAGACTCAACGATGTCCCACATGATAGAAATGTTGTTGGCTTGAAATGGGTGTTTTGTACCAAATATAATCCGGATGGAAGTATTCAAAAGCATAAAGCTAGACTCGTCACAAAAGGATATTCACAACCACATGGTGTAGACTTTGAGAAAACTTTTACTCCGATTGCTCGCTTTGAAAATGTGAAAATAATTTTGTCAATTTATCAATTTGATGTGAAGTCTACTTTTTTAAATGTTGCATTGGAAAAAGGTGTATGTGTTTTTAAACCTCCTGAATTTAATGTTATTGACAGTGAACATAAGGTTTATAGGTTACGAAAAACTCTTTATGCGTTGAAGCAAGCTCCTCGGGCTTGGTATAGTGAAATTGATTCGTTCTTTCACAGAAATGGATTCTCAAGAAGTGAGACCTACTCTTTATATATATATATATATATATATATATAGAAGAAAGGTAATGACGATTTCTTTTTGGTTTGTTTATATACTGATGATTTGGTATATCTTGCATCGTCAAAGGCTTTACTTGATGATTTTAAACATAGCATGATGAGCATATTCAAGATGAGGGACCTTGGGTTGCTAAAAGATGTTTTTAGAACTCAAGGTTATTCAGAGTAAAGATGAAATTTTTATGGATCAAAAGAAATATGGCGGATTGTGAAGTTGCACCCACGCCAATGAATATTAATGGGAAATTAAAGCATGAAGACGGGATTGAAAAAGCAAATGCAACATTGTTTTGAAGTTTGGTTGGTGGCTTGAATTATTGAACACACACTAGACGTGATATTTCTTTCTTGATCAGTGTTGTGTCCAGATTTATGCATCATTCTACGAAAAAACATTTTGGGGCTGCAAAGAGGATTTTTCGTTACATTGCTAGGACGTTGAACTTTGGCATTTGGTACAGTAAGGCAAAAAACTTTCAGATTTGTTGGCTTCGCCAATAGTGATTGAGTTGCGTTCATTGATGATCGCAAAAGTGCGTCGGGTAATGTATTTAATCTTGGTTCTGGAGTAGTAGTATGGAGCTCTAAGAAACAAGACATAGCAGCTTTATCATCATGTGAAGCGGAATATTCAGCAGCAACTTGGGCAGCAAAGTAAGCTTTGTGGATTCGGAAACTTCTAATAGATTTGGATCATGAACAAAAGGAGGCAACACAAATTTTCTGTGACAACAAGGCAGTGATTGCAATTGCCAAAGATCCATTTTTTTCATGGGAGGACAAAACATATTGACTTGCAGCATCACTTCATTAGACAACTTGTAGCAGATGGAAGAATTGCAGTGACGTTTTGTGGAACCAACGAGCAAGTAGCAGATATCTTCACCAAGTCACTTCATCGAGCCAATATGGATGCGTATGGGAGTCACAAGCTTTGAAGCAAGGGGGAGTGTTAATTAAGTTCTTCAAATTATTAACTAATATTGTTATTAAATAAATAATATGTGCACATATTTTAGGAGTTGCATTAAGTTATTTTAGGAGTTCCAACCATTTTTTCAAATTTTGCATTTCTAATATTTGATAATTATTGTATCAGATATTGTATCATTATCGTTGTTGTTCGTATTTCTTCTTCACATATTTTCTATTCCTGTTTTGCTATCATCAAGTTAATGGAGCATAGTTTTACCATAATCCACATCCAACAAGTAGGAATTTTTTATATTTCGACTATTCAATCCCATGTATCCTTCAGACGGAGTACTTAATCCATCCCGGCCCCCTAGAAAGGATAATGTCTTCAACAAGGACAGCTGCACACAACTTTTTCAATCACATCCAGCTGCTCATTATCATAATGCAGCAAAGATACAATAAATTTTTGACATGTTGCATTAGGTGCAGGACACATTTTGAGTACCAAAATGTAAATGTGAATAAAAATCTAGAGTGTCCTCGGTGCAAAAAGCCTTTGCAGGCAACGGAGATTTCTGCTCCAAATCTCAAAGCTCCCAGCTTACACTATTAGAGCGCCTCCCACAACACTGAAGATCTATCACTATTCTTGAGTCGTTTAACAAGTGTGGAATCGAAAACAAGGGAAAACTACAGAAACTTTTCTCGGGGAATGGCAGATCCAACTCCAGGTCTTAATGCTGCCT